GCGGGGGGGAATAAGCCCCTTGGCACAGTACATTTCACCTTTCAATTTGGAGTAAGATAGCTGCTTCCTGACTTCTGTATGCCCATTTTCAGAACTATGAGAATCTGATTTTAGAGAGGGTGATAGCAGCGCTTAAAGATGTGATAGTTGAAGTGGTTTGAGGGGAAGAAATCATTTTGACAGTTAACTCACTGAAAGTGAGCTTTGGATTTCCTGGAATAAAAGGGTCTCCTGATTACTTTGTGGTTTTACTACCTTAATTTTTTAAGAGGTAAAGGTAATACGCTAGTTAATCTTTCACTCTGTCCCAAATTATAGGTTGGTTTTTTTTTTTTTTTTTGGTATGAGAAATTTCCTTCCATGTTGTAGAAAATTGTGAAAGAAACATTTGAAAGTATCAGGCATTGAATGTTTGTTACAACTGTTAGGAACTTTATCAACTAAATGATACAAATGTGTGAAATATGTGGGTGAAGGTAACTTGCTGTAAAAGTGACTGGAATTTATCTTTTGATTGTCTGCGTATGTGTATGTGTAGTGTTTTCCATCTGAGATAAAAGTGTACCAAAGAAAATTAATTTTCCAAAATTATACTTAAAAAACAGCAAGTACTGTTTTCTTAAAAGTTGCAACCTAAAGAAAATAAAACTGGTTCAGAATTCCCCAAGATAATCCCCACTGCCTTTTTTTTTTTTTTTTTAAGACCGAGTAATGTATGAGCATGGTTAGAAAAGCCCAATAGCACAGAAAGGTCTAACATGGGAGGTGAGGGGGAGCTGCCTCTCCCTGACATGCTCCCCTAGAGGTACCTATTCGTGTATTGTGTGTGTTCATTTGGGGGACATTTTAAATACATATTCTATCCCAACTTACTCCCTGATTCTATACTTTTTTCTTTATTGCTAATTTTTTTCATATTTTTTCTTAAAACACTAAGAAATCTTTCTTATTCTTTATAATTGTTTCATAATCTTCCATTATTTGAAATAAGTGTAATTTCTAAATTGTTAAGTGATAGACTTTACATTTCTTACCGTTTTGCTCTAAGCAGCATTGTTGTAATGAATGTTATAAGCATGTTGATATACTTTTTTAGGTAAATTCATGGATAAGTTCATGTTATCAAAATTATTTCCAGAGTGGTTGAAACAACTCAGGTTTTTTCTAACAGCATATGACTATGGATTTATTTTTGCTATTATTTGAAAGGCAGAGCAACAGAGAGAGGGACAGACATAGAGATCTTCCATTTGTTGGTTCACTCCCCAAATGGCTGCAGCAACCAGGTCTGGGCCAGGCTGAAGTCAGGAGCCAGGAACTCTGTCTGGGTCTTCCACAAGGGTGTCAGCCACACAAGTACTTGGGCCATCTTCTCCCTTCCTGGATGCATTAGCAGGAAACTAGATCTGAAGCTGAATAGCCAGTGCTCTTTAGGATCCTGGTGTGGCAAGAGGCAGTTTAACCCACTGTGCCACAACACTGGCCTCTTGAATACATTTTGATCCCAAATTTTAATCTTCTTTTCTGCTTAAACTCTACAGTTTTAGTCTTTCTTTTGGGGGGGGGGGAACAAAAGCTATTGCTGTAAGTATTTGTTTATTTTGTTCTTACCTCTTTCTCTCCCTTTCTGATTGACTTTAGTAATTAATAGTAGATCTTGCATGTCTTCCTGGAAGGTATTGTTAGATACCAGCTTCTAAAAAGACATAGCTAACAGTGTCGCTTAGCAGGTAAATTGCATTCACATTTAAACATGCTTTGAACTGATGAATACCATTTTAAAAAGAAAGAGAAAGTGAGAAAGAGGAGAGAGGCACAGAGAGAAAAATATTTGTATTGTTTTTCTAGTAGATAATGGGAGGAACGCTGAGGAGTCAGAAGTTGTGGGTTTCAGGTTTGCTTCACCGAACCTTGGTCTAGTCACTTTATCTCCCTGAGTTTACTAATCTATAAAATGAGGTGGGTAGGTATTATTGTCAGTTTTATGATTGTGCTCCAGTGACTATATGCATTTGAAGATGTGTAGCACGTATAAACATAAACTAGTGCTGCTGTTATTTTATACCTAATAAAAATTGCCCTCTTTGCACACCGAAACCTTCTGTTGTAACTATATTCAACTTTTGTCTTGAAATATGTTGTTGTCCAGTTGCACAATTTAATATTTAGAATTTGAGTTATTTTCATTTGCCAGTCTTCCAGAAGCTTACCTTTGGTTTAATTGAATATAGTTCACTCTCAAGAAACTTAGCTCACTCTTACTCTCCTGCTGATACAGTAGAATTTATTTTGTACATGAAATACTGAAATGTATGTAGATACTAAGTGTATTCATGGGCCAAACATCACCTTTTCCTCTCTTCTGTGTCTACACATACCTTCAGTCAGGTCATAGTTTGAAAGATTCCTGTATCCTTAAAGAAAGTTTCTAAATTGATTGGAGAGACAAAATGAGAATTCCCTACTGCTGGCTCAGCCTCAATTCCTGAGATGGTGACCAGGCCAGGAACTCAACCCAGGTCTCCCACTGCAGCCTCTCAGGGTTTGGAAAGGAGTCAGGAGCCAGAACTGAGTATCAAATTCAGGTACTCTGATGTGGGTTGTGGGTATCTTAAACACTAGGCTAAATGCTAGTCCACATTCATGTTTTCTTTGAACACAGGCTGTTCCCTATGCTGGTTATACTTAGAAATGCTACCAATCTTAAAAATATTTGATATCTTATGAATGGAAAGTAGTTGAAGCTTTTTTCAGAACTTTGGTAACTATTTACTAATAAAAAAACAATCAGTGTGAGATTTATTGGCATTTGGTACTGTGAGGCCTTCTGCAAACTGAAGTGTAGGGATGCCCTTTGCAATTCAATATCCCTGTTGTTTCTAATACCTAACATCTGTAGAAACATACCTTTTTTTGAATAGTCATTTTTAATCAAAGTCTTTTATCAGAAGAATGTTAAATAGAATAATCATGGAGTTCTAAAAAAAAACAATTCTCAAACTTTTAAGCTCCTAAGTTCTAAGAAATACCAGTGTTTTTTATGCCATGCAGGACTGTTCCAAAAGTTTATTAAAGAGCTGGCATTGTGGCATAGCAGGTTAGGCCATCACCTGGGACGCGGGCATCCCATGTGGGTTCTGGTTTGAGTCCCTGCTGTTGTATTTCCAATCCAGCTGCCTGCTGATGGGCCTGGGAATGCAACAGAAGATAGTCCAAAGTGCTTGGGCCTTGCACCCAAATGGGAGACCCTGATGAATGAGGCTGTTGGCTTCAGCCTGTCCCTGCCCTGGCTGTAGGCCATTTGCGGAGTGAATCAGCAGATGGAAGATTTCTTTCTGTCTCGCCTTCCCTCTGTAACTCTGCCTTTCACATAAATAAATCTTTAATAAAAAAGAAAGAAAACAAGAAAAGCATTGTAAAGCTGCTTTCCGTGGATGGTGAACTTGGGAGCAGGTGAAGGTGGTCATCGGCATTGCTGTGGCCTTGCACAATGATTTTGCTTACACTTAGGAAATACACTGTAACTGTCTGAAATATAAGTGAGTTAATATTTTTAAATATTGGTTTCCTGTGTAACAGTTTGTTTGGTGCTTAAATCAATTTTAAGCCGGAAATGTGTAGCTCTGCCTAAAAGATGTTAAGCAAGTTGGAAACCCTAATGATTACATTACTCTCTTTGCATCACCCTACTCTTCAGCTTTCCATTAAAAGAATTTAATTAAAAAATAGGACTATATTGACTGTGCTCTGGCAGAATAATTTGTAAATAATGATAGTGGTGTAACATTGGAAATATTTAATACTGGCTACTCTCTTTTCATTAGAATGATAATGCTGCAAGAAAGAACCATTCTTTTAGAATAGAAGAATTTAAAGCAAAAAATAGGACCTTTGAGAAAGTGTGCCTCAAGAACTTGATGTAAATCACCATGCCATTCTTACTACATACCATTACATGTTTTATTATGTAGTAGCATCACAAAAAATTTTGAAAATGGAATCTTAGGACATTGGAATTTGACCTGATTTTTAAATTTTAAAGAATTGGGTATTTTCCTCATTTCTATTTTGTTCTCCTTGCTTCTGTGCCCCATTGTTTAGCAGAAAGAAAATACTGTAATATCCCTTTCTCCCTTTGGTAGTGCTTTTGGCCTTCCATCATCTTTGTCTTCTAATAAGCATGAAATATATAGCTCTGAATGAATTGGCAAAATTTTACTTCTAAGGATAACATCTTGAGTTATTGAATTTGTCCTTAAGGTGTTTGTGTTTGTGGTTGATTTGTTTGTAATTGTGGATTAACTGGATTAAGATAAAACACAGCCACACACTGTCAAGTGGTGTGAACTAAAATAAGTTGCTACCAGTTTACTCTTTAAATTTTCCAGTAGCTTTTAGTTAACTTTTATGACAAGTAGAGTGACAAAGTAGTAGAAGGAACATTGAAATTGGATTCTGTGCAAGCTTCCTTATTAGATAATCTAACTTCTCTAGGCATTGGCTTGCATGATTGCTAACGGTAGTTTAAAAGTATGTTTTTTATTCCTAAGGTCAACTTTAATATAGTGTTCAGTGCTTAAATAACATTTTAATTTTTTCAGCCACTTTCTTACAATCTAATTTTTAGTTAAAATAATTTCTTAAATTGTTCTTATCCCTTCTGACACACATTTTTGTAAGCCAGAGACCAGTTTGATTGCAAAGTGTATGCAGTATTTTCTAAATTGAAAGGAGAAAGTCTATTTCAAAAATATTCTGAAGATCTAAAAATCCTACCTCTTAAACCACATTCTTGTGTTCGCCTTTAAAAATCTGAATCAATTTCATATTGTCTTAGTTTCTAAATTTAGAAATGTTTTTGAGTTCTGTTTATATGTAATGAAAGATTTATGCAAGAAGTTTTAATATGCCTTACCTAATCTAGATAGATGATTCCTTTACTGTTTGTGAAGATACACAATACAAAAATGCTAATTTTTCTTCTTTTCTCTTCTCATTAGCCATCTGTTGAGTCTTCAAGTCCAGGTAAGTATTTTCCTGGATTTTTATATATATACATATATAAATATATATATATTTGGCTAACATTTGTCCTATTAGTTGCATAAAGGCTAGAGGCATTAGACTATCATCTGACTTGCTTTTCTTCCAAATGCTTCTTTTCTCTGGGGAAAAAGAAATGGATGAAATGTTTGACAGCCCATGAAAGTACAGGTGAGGCTGCTGTGAGTTCATCGTCATGACTATTTTTGGGTTCTCTTTTTTTCTTTTTCTTTCTATGAATTGCCATATGTATTTCTTACAGTTTTAAATTGTTACTTGGTTTGAAGTATATATGAATTTTTTTAGGAGATCAGCTTAGTAATACCTACTTGTGTAGGAAATGGAATTTTTATTTTTGAGAAAAAAATCAGTGTATTTACTGAGGGAGAGGAAAATAAAAAATTCATCAAGTCAATAATGATCTAAATCACTGACATTATTCTCAAATATGAAAATGATCAAGGTTAACCTTTGATCATGTTTCTATGATTTTTTTTTATTCTTCCTCACATAATCTACAGATTATTTTCCCTTAACTTAGATACTGCAAACTTGGGAGCTTTGGACCAATGTGGACCACAAATATTTTTAATTGCAATATTATTTAAAAATTAAAATATTTCATATAAATCAAGGTTGAGGATTTTCATATCAATTGCATCACTGGCATCACTGAATATTGTATTTTTACATGGCAGTAATTGGTTGAATTTAAATAGCAGTGAGAAAAGAGTTAGGAATTAGTCTCTTGCCTTAGTTTCCAAGAGAAGTTTACCAAGTTTACTTAGTTTACCAAGAGAAGTGAGAGTTGTCCTCTGCATGAGGTATACAGGTTAAAGAACAGTCCGGTATGGCAGGTTGAAAAATGGAGTCCTCTGAAGCATAGTAATGTTTTGTTTGAAAATAAGTCACATATATATTGGATATGCAGATACAGTGTTTTCCATGTCACTGAGTTTTCAGATTATTGAAGCATTACCTTTCTTCATTTATAAGTTTTAGGAAGAAAACTTTTAAAAATGCTTAACAGCTTAACAGGATATAAGTCTTTTTCTTTCTTTTCTTTTCTTTTCTTTTCTCTTCTTTCTTTCTTCCTTTCTTTCTTTTTCTTTCTCCCTTCCCTTCCCTTTTTCTTTTTCTTTTTCTTTTTCTTTTTCTTTTTCTTTCCTTTTTCTTTTTCTTTTTCTTTTTCTTTTACTTTATCTTTTTCTTTTTTCTTTTTCTTTTTCTTTTTCTTCCCTCCCCTCCCCTCCCCCTTTCTTCCCTTTCTTTCTTCTGGGTCCTTTTCATAGCCACAAATCATTGTACTCTGTGAGGGTTTTAGAATAGATTACCTCCAGATCCCTTTTAAAAGATCAGTAGGAGTGCAGTGGAGGATGGCCCAAGTGCTTGGGCCCTGCACCCCATGGGAGACCAGAATAAGCACCTGGCTCCTGCCATTGGATCAGCGCGGTGCGCTGGCTGCAGCGCGCCGGCCACGGTGGCCATGGGAGGGTGAACCAACAGCAAAAAGAAGACCTTTCGCTCTGTCTCTCACTGTCCACTCTGCCTGTAAAACAAAACAAAACAAACAAACAAAAAAACAAAACCAGATCAGTGTACTAAATTGATAGTTGATTTTGTCTTTATTTCAGCTGAAAAATCTCTTCAGTATGCTTGAAATTAAAGTACATTAGGCTTTGTGGCATTTCTCAAACTCAGCATTTTTTTTTTCTTCTTCCTGGCTTATAAGTACATCCTGAGTGATAGATGTTGGAAGTAATCTGGTCACTGAAACCTTTTTAGGATGGAATTGCTTCAATATTTTTTTTTTGTTTTACGCAGAAGAACCATTTTCATTGAAAAAATCAGTTCTAGTTGTTTTTCTTATGCATAAGTATATACAAATAATGAAAATGATACTAGTAACAAACATTCTCAGTTTCTATTGCATTTGAATCAGCCTAGCAGAACTGGAAAAAATAGTGGAGTTTGAAATATTCAAACATCTTTAATATCACTTGCTATGTGTTGAATATTTATACATACAGATTGAATGTTTATGCTTTGTTTTCAGACTGAGGAAGGTCTCAGAGTTAGATAGGATTTATAATATGAAGCTTTTGCCCAAGGGAATTCCTACTGTTCTTACAAGTAATGCTGGTTATAGGCAGTTAAAGAAGTTGGTGAAGAAAATTAAAAGTTGAGGCTTTGTGCAAAAAAGCCTTTGGTCCACTGGTAAAAGGCTGTGCCCTTTGTAGCATCTGTACTTTGGAACCAGTGCTACTAATGGTAGTCACATGACCATGATAAGTGATTTGTCTTAGGCTCCACCTGGGTAAGACATAGTGGAGACATAATACAGAGTCTAGTAGCCATTGCAAGACTAGTAGCCATTGGAGGTGGAGATTAAGGGAGGGAAAGATAATCAGATGCAATTAAATGAGTACATGTGATACATTGTAAAATGAAATTATCTTTGAATTTTTGAAATGGTATATCTTTTAGCAATTCTGTAGTAGGGTGGGAATTGAAGACAAAGCAGTGATCTATGTTCTGAATGTGAAGCAAGATACTTATTTACACAAAATATGAGGCTCCCTGCCCCTAATAATTTATTAAATAGATTTTTTTTCCACCTAGGAGACACCTAACAATGGGTCTAGCAATTATAAAGGAATAAAATGGTTAGTTGGTCCTAAAGAAAAAGGCAAAGTCAGATAAAACAGAGATTAAATTAAGGCAAGGAAAAATTTTGAATGTTTATAGAAACAAATGCGATGTGTATAGAGGAAGGAAGAAAAAAATGTATTTATGCTTTGTTATTTAATATAGTGAGAAATAGAGTGGTAGTATTCAAATATAATTGGCTTTGCACATAATAAAATATGGGAACTTGGGGTTACGCATGTAACATGATTTAATACTGTGTACTAATAAAAGCTTGATTTTTTTTCTTTTAAGTAGCTGATAAATGATAGTAGAAAAATAAATTAGGAATTGAGAATACTTGTTTTTGACAATACCTGCATCCAACAAAAATTATGATTAAGATAGTAGTATATAAAGATTGATCTATCTATTTATTTGAAAGACTGAGTTATAGAGAGAGGTGGAGACGGAGAGAGAGGTCTTCCATATATTGGTTCACTCCCCAAATGACCACACAGCAGGAGCTGAGCTGATCTGAAGCCAGGAGCCAGCAGGAGCTTCTTCCGGGTCTCCCATGTCGGTGTAAGGGTCCAAGCACCTGAGCCATCTTCTACTGCTTTTCCAGGTGCATTATTAGGGAACTGGATCGAAGTGGAGCAGCTGAGATTGAACCAGTCACCAAAAGGGATGCTGGCACTGCAGGCCAGGGCATTAACCTGCTGCATCATGCACTACCCACCACGTCCCTCCACCCTTTTTTTTTTTTTAAAGTGATTTTCTGCTAACAGGGAGAAGAAAAGTATAGATAACACTCTGGAGGAATACACAATTACAGACTACTAAAAGTCCGAGAAATTTTATGAGAATTTTCCATTGAAAACCTAGAAAGAAATAGTTACCAGTTGAGACAAATGACAGCTCACTTACTGGTTGTCAAGTTGGTGCTCCTACACAATACCCTGTCCAGTCCCTCAACTAATGTAACAGTGCTCTACTAAATTATTGCCTTTTTTTATTATTATTTCCAGGAAAAGTTAAGGTAATATGCCTGTACTTTTCTAAATGTTTTTATTTTACAAATAATTATTAAACTCTGATAACTATTAGCAACTCATTTTTACTGTAATTTAATGTAAGATTACATCTGATTTGTCTGGCAGTTATGTAATTATTTTATATTTAAAATACAGCTTAATATATTTTTTATGTGTAAATGTGTATGCCTCAAAGAATTCAATGACTACTAAGTGCTTTGCCATTTGTACTGGCTTGGAATCATCATTTTAGTCAACATAGCTTGCTGAGGGGCCAGTGCTGTGGCATAGCAGGTAAAGCTGCTGCCTGCAGTGCTGGCATCCTATATGGGTGCTGGTTCTAGTCCTGGCTGCTCTACTTCAGATCTAGCTCTCTACTATGTTCTGGGAGAGCAGTAGAAGATAGCCCAAGTCCTTGGGCCCCTGCACCCACATGGGAGACGTGGAAGAAGCTCCTGGCTCCTGGCTTCAGATCAGCATAGCTCCAGCCATTGCGGCCAACTGGGGAGTGAACCAGCAGATGGAAGACCTCTTTCTGCCTCTCCTTCTCTCTCTGTGTATCTCTTTCAAATAAATGATTAAAAAATAGACTGCTGAAATACTCTTTGAGGTAGGATGATGGTAAGCAACTCACTTGTTTATTAGTAAACCATGCTTTGGAAACTTACATCTAGATTTAGTGATGGTCAAATGTGAGGACATTTTACAGGATATATATGCCCAGCCTTGGCAATTTACTAATACAAAGCCATATTCCCCAACCACCAGGCTGAAAGTAAGTTAGATTAGCTTACACATCAGTTATCTATTAGTTTACTTTTAATGCTACCAATAAGAATTCTGCATGCAATTTTACTAAATTTTGCTTTTCTCCTGTTTGGCGTTAATTAAAATCAAAGTCAACTAAAAACAGCTGCTCAAATATTAGAAGGTACCGTAAAGGAAGAGGAATGCAATTTGAATGCATCTCCCATTTTTCTAGACTATATGCAAGGATTCTCCAAAAAGTTCATTGAAAGATGAAAATAAAAGATGTTTATTTTACTGCATAAATATTTGAAATCCATGCTTCACTTTTTCTTATACCTATTTTCCATCAACTTTTTGAAGATCCTCAGTACAGTCATGTGGCAGTTGATGACAGGAATGTGGTCTGAGAAAGGAATGAATCACTAGATCATTTTGTTGTATAAACATAGAGAATACTTACACAAACCGAGATGGTGTACCTTTATGATATAGTCACTGTTGTGTATATAGTCCATCATTGAAAAAGTGTCATTAAGTGACTCATGACAGTGTTCAGATGACTGTAACTTTCTTAAGTTCCTCAGCGGTCACAGGAATTCATACTCCGAGTGCATCAAATGGTTAGAAATTGTGATTTTTTTTTTTGTACGCAAAAAAGCCATTCCTGCCTGATATGATTTATTACTCATAGCTTATCTTTCATATTTCAAGGATTGCAGCACACTTTTTTAAAAGCTATCAACATTCCTACCCCTCTTTTGCATTTTTAACTGAATATCTAGGGATGAGAGACGCAGAAATAATCCCTAAGAAATATTTTTTTTTGGGTGATGATGAATAAGGGCAAGAATTTTTAAGATTGATAAATATTTACATATTTTTTCTTGTAGTTGCAACTTATATCCAATTTCACATTAGTAAAGCATAGACACTAATATTGATAAGACACATTTGATTTGGTTTACCAAACTTTTTTAAAATATTCTTTACCAGGAGGTTCAGCAACATCAGATGACCATGAATTTGATCCATCAGCTGACATGCTGGTACATGATTTTGATGATGAACGAACATTAGAAGAGGAAGAAATGATGGAAGGAGAAACAAACTTCAGTTCTGAAATAGAGGATCTTGCAAGGGTAAATAATATTAAATAGATTGAGGGGGTACAGTAGTTAAAACTTTTTGGAGAGAGGCAACTTGAAGTCTTGGTTTGCTGTCTCTTTTGGGGGAAGAGTTATGTTATATATAGCCTGTACTGAAAAATTCAATACTGTTTAGGTGGTATATTTAAAATTTGTAATGAAGGCATATAAAAAAAAGCTATTCAGTGGAACATCACAAATCTGGGTTAACAACAGACTATAAAATGATCCTAAATTTTGTCTTCATGCACTGTTTATCCTTTCCCAATTATAGTACCTTTCGCTTACTCCCCTTTAGAGCATCATTTCCCATTCACTACTTAAAGTGCTGTACATTGTTTCCACCCCTTCCTATCCAGGTGACCAATGACTTTCCTTGTTGGATTTAATTTTTTTTCAGTGGAATTCAATATAGTTTACCATTACTGTCTTACTCGATTTTGGAGTATTGCACTGTCCTGTTTCTCCAGTCTCTCTTGTGTTGAGTATCCTTTGCATATTCTTTTCCCCTTACCTAAGTTTAAACATTGGCATTTTCTGATTGTCAATTCTGGACTACTTTCTCTCCTGTCTCTGTGTAGACCAATATTTTTCAAAAAATAGTATGAAGGTCAGCTATGTTAGACTCACACATGGAATTTTAAAAAACAAATTCCTCTGCCTGAAGGTACCCTCAGAGGTGCCTGAAGGTACCCTCAGAGGTACCTGGAGAAATTCTCATTATAAAATTACTAAGCTATGAGATCTAATTTATTTCCATGATTTCTGTATGCTCAGTTTTTCTTAGTTTATATTTCTAGCACTACGCTGTTCACTGTCTTCTGTTTGGGTTGTCTGACTTGACAAATCTGTTTGGATATTTCAACAGATAACTCTTAATTTTAAATGTCCCAAACAGAACTGCTGATTGTTGTTCTCCCTCTACCTGTTCCTTCCCTGCTTTCTCTATGTCACTTAAAAATAGCATGACTGTTTTACCCTGTTGAAACTAACTTAGGAACCAGGCATTTTCCTTCATTACTAATATCCAGTTCCTAAATAAGCTTGTCATTTCTGTCCACACAAATATCTTACTTTACTGTTTTGCTCCTTGTCTTCTCAGTTTGCCTTCATTTCTAGCTTAGACGACTGTAGTAGTTTCCTAACTGCTTTTCCAATTTTCTCTTTCACCATCGTTCTCCCAATATATTTCCATCCAATAACTATGATGATCTTTTCAAAATATAAATCAATTTATATCAACCTTTTTGGCTTTCCATTACCGCCAAAGAAAATCTGGACTTAACGTGTCTAGCAAAGCCACCTACATGATACAACTTCTTATCCATGTATTGTACTGCCTCTTTTATTCTAAGCTGCTTTCATTCTTTGGTAACCTACTTCCTATTTCAAGGCTTCTCAGCTGATTCTCACTCTCTGGTGCATGCTTCACAGGACTAGCTTCTTGTCCTCTGGGTTTGCTGTTGCCTCCTCAGAATGGCCTTTCCTGGGTATAATTAGCATTTGTTATGTGCGTATGTGGCTTTTAACTACTTTATCCTTTTCAGTGCTTCCTTTATACCTAACACAGTTCGTAATTATGTGTCTAATTCATCAACTGTATCATCTATTAATTTCATGGGTGGGGGACCATGATTGTTTTATTCACTAGTCACTTAATTTAAGTGTTGAATGAGTGAATGGTAAATCAATGTCGTGTGTACTCTGATAAAATTTATTGCACATATGATCTGATACACTGGACCTCTGATAAAATGGAACATGAAAAATGAAATAGTGCCGCCTTTTAAGGATTTGAATATGTAATACAGAAAAAATGAGTGCTTTTTTTATAGTAAGAAAATAATGCAGGTTTCAGAATTTTCGTTAGAAACTTTTAAAGATGGATAGATTTAAAGAGCTTGAATATTTTGTCAGATGGTCTCATTTTGGATCATTTAATGATTAGTCTAATGTACAATGCCTAAGATACTTAATATTTTATTATTTTGAGCTGGAGAATAGACTTGGTGTTTGTGGCAATAGTGTATATTGGTTATCACAAAAGCCTTTGAGTCAGCATTACTCTTTAAAAGTAAGAGGTTTTGAAAACTGTTCAGATTTGCTTGAATGACTCAGAATTTAGGTGAACATCAAGGAGAACTATAGATTTAATGTAGTCACTTAACAGATTTGTAAAGTAGAAAGGCACTTATTTTCAGTTATTTGCCTAAATTCACGGGAACTTTTGTCACTTCAGATACATTTTTCTGCTGAATAACTCATCGATGGGATAAAATGTAAAGGAGGAAATATTATATTTTCCATCTTACCACATTCTGTTTTAACTCAAGTACAGATTAGTAAGAGAAAGTAATCAAGTTTGGTTTGTACTAGGTTGTGGGGTAGGATGATGGTTGTTTTCTTCTCTTTCAGAAAATGACCTTTATACCTAACATAAAACATTCATTTGAAGCATATCATTTCCTTTTGCTATTTCTCCTTCCACCTTTTTCACCAGATCCTCATAGTTCCTAAATTTGTTTCAAATGATCCTTTCTTAGAACATATTAATTAAAATAGAACTGTGGCCAGCGCCGTGGCTCAATAGGCTAATCCTCCGCCTTGCGGCGCCGGCACACCGGGTTCTAGTCCCGGTTGGGGCGCCGGATTCTGTCCCGGCTGCCCCTCTTCCAGGCCAGCTCTCTGCTATGGCCCGGGAGTGCAGTGGAGGATGGCCCAAGTCCTTGGGCCCTGCACCCGCATGGGAGACCAGGAGAAGCACCTGGCTCCTGGCTTCGGATCAGCGCGATGTGCCAGCCACAGCCCGCCAGCCATGGCGGCCATTGGAGGGTGAACCAACGGCAAAAGGAAGACCTTTCTCTCTGTCTCTCTCTCTCATTGTCCACTCTGCCTGTCCAAAAAAAAAAAAAAAAAAAAAAATAGAACTATTTATTGAGGATATACAAAGGAGGAAAAAGACAAAAGGGCCAATCCCTAATCACCCCTTCACCACTTAGATTCTTCTCTAACTTCTCCTAGAAATAATTAAGGCTTAAGTTTAAACAGCATATAACTGCTACTGCTTTCATTTATAACCTGAAGATAAGCTACTTCAAGGTCAACATGTTGGATTTCCTATAAACTCTGCAGGTATGAACCCGATTACTGTACGAATTTACACGACTGCCTTTTCTGTGCATCAGCAGGAAGCTGGAGTCAAAAGCAAAAGTTAGGAATGAAACCCTGGTACTACAAATTTGGGATGTGGGTGTCCTAAGCCCAGTGACCACCCCCAAATAGACTTTTTAATTCCACTTTTCCATGAACTTTTTGAAATTTGCTCTTAAATGTAAAGGCAGTGGAAAGCAGTTGGTCTAGGTCTGTGATCCGGCTATAGTACTTAATCAGCTTGTGACTTTGGATAAGTTACTTAACATTGTTAAGCTTTAGTTATTACAAGGATAATATATCTGAAGCACTTAGCACGATGTCTGATATATGAGAGGTTACATCATTCATAGATACGTGGAACCCAAAGATATGTGGAACCCAAAACTGAAAATTCCAGACTTGACCCATAGTTTTACTTTACTTTGCTCTCCCATTTGTATACTCTTAATTCTTGTAGGACTGGAATAAAACACTGTGCTACTTTATTGTGATGTTTAAATTTAAGTTGAAGGAATCCCTCCTAGTACCTGGTATAATAGAGACTTTGATTAATATAAACTGATGAGAGATTCTCTGGAATAGGCGACTAACAGGCCCTCATATAATATGTACTGTTGGCCAAGTTTTATTCATACCTTAGTCTTTTCAGAAGGAAATTACATTTGCTTTAATAGGATTTTGTTACTGTTAAAGCATCAGAATTTGGAAGTACAGAGATAGAAATCCATCTTGAACTACCTAGTCAAAATAAATAAATTAGTGTAACGCTCGTGGGATTTCGTGAAGTGTGGGGATATAACCAAGCCTCAGGGACTCAAGTGCCATCAAAATATATTTCCTCCATTTCTGCTTTCCTACATGATGGACTTCCTTTTTCAGACCAACTTTCTGAAGATGCTGTCATATCACTAATATTTACTGCTTAAGAAAAAGTCTATTTCTTTAATTCCTGTTGATATAATTCAAGAAACAGAGGTGTGGGCAATATGCCCACTTCAAAACTATGGCCAGGGAATGCAGTGATTCAGGTGCTATGGTCCAAGAGGACAGCTTGTAATCAAAATAGGTTCTTGGAAAGCAGGAAAGGATATTTACTGGGAAAAGATGGTGCAGAATAAAAGATAGTAGGACAGGGTTGGGGACAAATTACAATAAATGATCTACTTAATTCTTTATGCTTGCTAAATTAAGTATTTCAGTTAGCACAAAGTAGGGACACAGTAAATGTTACTTGAATTTGAAACAAAATTCCTCAGCAAAATTAGTTGCTGGTTTTTGTTGAAGCCTCATGTTTCTTTTAAGATCCCAACTTTACACATCAAATAAAATACTTTTTTGTACTACCGTCAAGTTTTGACTTATATTCTCAGTGGTAATACTTGTTTTTTCCTTGTTGCTTATTAACTACATGATGAGTGATAGCAGTTAAAAATTCATACCTAAGGGGCTGGTGCTGTGATATACTAGGTTAAGCCTCTGCCTGCAGTGCTGGCCTCCATATGGGTGCTGGTTCCTGTACCTGTTGCTCCTCTTCTGATCCAGCTCTCTGCTATCGCCTGGGAAAGCAGTAGAAGATGGCCCAGGAGCTTGGGCCCCTGCACCTATGTGGAGACATGGAAGAAGCCCCTGGCTCCTGGCTTCAGATTGGCCCAGCTCTGGCTGTTGGGGCCATCTGGGGAATGAACCAGCAGATGGAAGACCTTTTTCTCTTTTCCCTCTCTATGTCTGTAACTCTGCCTCTCAAATAAATAAATTTAAAAAAACTTTAAAGAAAAATTAAAAGCATAATACCACCATATACTACTCACTTTTAATATTAATCAATTTGATTAGATAGGCAAGTATATTTGTTTACACATGATAGAACCCACCTCAAAGATAACTATGACTGAAAATAAACTGTTTGAAGTTACCTGAATATGTGCTCCTATTTTTAAGGAATGCATAGATAGAACCAGGGATTCAGCCTTGTTAGGACCTTTATCACTCCTTACCCTGGTTAAATCCTGCAGAAGAAATCTCTTTCAATTTTTTCTTTTCTGTAACTACTCAGTTGGGTTGGGTTCTGATCATAACACAGGTGAATGATAGCAGCAAATTCCCACCTTGCTCTGCCTCCTTGGCACAGAAATAAAGCTGTCCTCTGTTTAAGTCCATGTTGAACATTTCTTGTGTGTGTAATTTTCCCTGAGCCCTTGCATAGTGTCAGTAGCTGCTCCACACCTGTTCTCAAATTTATCTAAAGAATATAGCATATCTCCATAGAAACTAGGTAACTAGAAAAATTAGGTTTAAAAACACCAACCTTTCAGTAATCTATAATCTCTCAGTAATGGTCTTCTGGAATTATATTTCCCTTTTTAGTTAATACAGTCAGTATCTGAGCTTTAAGCTGAGTGACCTGATTATTCATTTTTGTTTCTTGTGCATTTATCATCTCCTCTGACCTGAAGGGTTTTTTTTCATCTGTGCCAATTCTGTTACTGTTTATTTTAATTCAGCTTCTCCAGATGCACTGTGATTGGACCATTTTTGACTCTGTTCTTTGCTTAGTCAATATTTGTATTGTTGGTGAATTTTTCTTAGAGAAATGAATTTTAAAGTGAGTCAGATTTCTCATCTGTGTTTCAAAGAGGGAAAAATCTTGATCTAACCATAATGTCAGGCGTCTTGATAGTGGTTAAAAAAAAAATCTCTGCATGCAGTTAGTCTATCTTTTCCTCTTTTTGACAGATGCCTGAGCTAGCTGTCATGTTAGTGATAAGCCTTATTAAAAATAATGTTGAAGCTTTATTATTTCCCACTGGAAACACTGATTTGTAGATATCTTATCCTACGCCTTTGAGATTAGTGGTTCTCTGGTTGCTTCCTTGCCAGTAGTAATCAGCACTTTGGACTTTGAAAAAATGCAGACTTTTAGGCCAATCTAAGCCCTGTTAGGTAGGAAACTAAGGTAAGTCCCAACGCCTTGTTTCAATAAGCCCCCAAGGTGGGGCCATCGTTTTGGAGCAGTGGACTAAACTGCCACTTAAGATGCCACCATCTCAAATCGGAGTGGCAGTTCAAATCTCAGCTGCATTGCTTCCAACCCAGCTCCCTGCTGATACACTTGGCGAAACAACAGAAAGATGACTCAAGTGTATAGGCCTCTTCTACTCACTTGGAAAACCTGGATGGAGTTCTGGACTCCTGGCTTTGACCTGGCCCAGCCCTGGCCATTACAACCTTGTAGGGAATGAACCAGTGGTTAAATGATCTCTTACTCTGTCACTCTGCCTTTTAAATAAGTAAAATAAATCTTAAAAAAAAAAAAAAAAAAGCCCCTAAGGTGATTCTAGTGCCCTTGAATAAGATGACTCAAGGGCATTTATATGTTTATTTACATGCCATGGTCTAGGCAAAAGATGAGTTCAGTATCGAGCACTGCTATTTAAATAGTAGTGTGATCTTAAAGTATCATTTAACTGAAAAAATTAGAGGTTACAGTAACAAATATTAAGATAGTTTTCGGGGCAGGCGCCATGGCGCACTAGGTTAATCCTCCGCCTGCAGTGCCAGCATCCCATATGGGCGCCGGGTTCTAGTCCCGGTTGTTCCTCTTCCAGTTCAGCTCTCTGCTGTGGCCCGGGAGGGCAGTGGAGGATGGCCCAAGTGCTTGGGCCCCTGCACCCACTTGGAAGACCAGGAAGAAGCACCTGGCTCCTGGCTTCGGATCAGTGCAGCTCCGGCTGTTACAGCCATTTGGAGAGTGAACCAATGGAAGGAAGACCTTTCTCTCTTTTTCTCACTGTCTGTAACTCTACCTGTCAAACAAATAAAATCTTTAAAAAAATAGTTTTGAGGATGAAATATGAAAGAAGCTCTTCAAAAATTCTTAAGGGCAGTAAACATTAGCAGCAAACTGTTAATGCTGAACTTATTTTTTCTGGCTTGGCCCATATTCATACTTGTGACTTAATTTGTTAAACTTGCATCTAATTTTGGGTGCAGGATGAGCTTAAGAAAAATTATATAAACTGGAATTAGGTATAGGTATTGTGGAAAGTCTCTATCAATGTGTGATATTTTTCTCTGAATACTCCCATATGATACTTCCAAAGATCTAAAAAGACTGTGAATGCACTAACTTTGCTTTTGTTCTGATAAGAGAATAAGTGAAATCAAAGCATCTATCATTGAAGATACTTTATGTGGCTATTTGCTGTCAGTGTGAATAAACCTTTTTCATACTCTAGTTCTACCTATATCTATCTTGTTAAATACTAACTTCTAATTTATTGCCATGACTAGATCCTTGAAGACCTTGATCAGTGTTGGTATTTTTTTTTTAAAGTTTTATTTTATTTATTTGAAAGTTGGAGTTGCAGAGAGGGAAGGAGGGAGGGAGAGAGAAAGAGAGGTGTCTTCCATCCACTGGTTCACTCCCCAAATGGCAGAAACAGCCAGGGCTGGGCCAGGCTGGAGCTAGGAGCCAAGAGCTTCGCTGGGGTCTCCTAGGTGGTTCCAGGGGCCTAAGCTCCTGGGCCATCTTCTGCTGCTTTCCCAGGCACATTAGCAGGGAGCTGGATTGAGAAGTAGAGCAGCTAGGACTCAGACAGGTACCCATTTGCGATAGTGGTGCCACAGCAGAGGCTTAATCTGCTATACCACAATGCTGGGCCCCCTGTTGATGTATTTTGAGATTAAATTATAAGAGCTGTCAAGTATGTCATGCTGCCACTTTTCAGGCTGTTGCTGTCCAAATAATTGGAGCTTTCATAATCTATTTCTTGTTCAGAAACAGATTTACTGATTTATAACCAGAATACCCAGTTATAATGTTGAATGGAAGTTTCTCTCTATAAGAAAATCTATCCAAATTATAATCAGGAAATTGTTCCTGGTGTATGATTTATGAATGAAGAAGATTAGATTGTATGATCTAAGGGATAGTGTCATCAGGTTATATTTGGGGACTGTCATGCCCATCTCCATCATAGCAGTATGGGCTAGATTTATTTCTGTCCCTGATAAGGCACAGAATGCTGGAGAAATTATGTCTTAATTCATAATTATGGTTCTTTCAGGTTCTGAACTGTCTGACGTTTCTTTTGTTTTTCTTCAGAGCATGTGTTTATGTGTAGTGTGCAGTGGTGTGTTTGTATAGAATATATTCAGATGATTTGGGTCAAATTTTTTTTGTATAACCAGAATTCTAATCTGTTTTTCCCTGAGACTTTGCGTGACTTGATTATGATTAGAGTGAGTACATTCTGCAGAAAACTGATTTTAAAGCATGTAGATACTGCTTCATTTGCAGATGATACATATTTTGGAGAGGTTTAAGGAGATTCCTGGCTGAGACACCATGGAGTACACATTAGATTGTTTAAATCTTATTTATTTATTTGCAAGTCAGAGTTACACAAAGAGAGGAGAGTCAGAGAGAGAGAGAGAGAGAGATCTTCCATCTGCTGGTTCACTCTCCAATTGGCCGCAATAGCCAGAGTTGCGCCGATCAGGAGCCAGGAGCCTCCTCCAGGTCTCCCACGTGGGTGCAGGGGCCCAAGGACTTGGGCCATCTTCTACTGCTTTCTCAGGCCACAGCAGAGAGCTGGATCAGAAGTGGAGCAGCCGGATCTCCAACCAGCACCCATATGGGATGCTAGCGCTTCAGGCCAGGGCATTAACCCACTGCGCCACAGCGCCAGCCCCAAACTTGTGTAAATTTTAAGATTTAAATTGCTTAGTCTTTCAGCCTGTTTCCTCATCTGTGAAATGGAAATAATATAACTGTTCTGTAAGGCAGATGATAAAGATTGCATGAGATGATTTTAAATGGAAATGGAAGTAACCATGGAAAAAAGTTATTTGGCTGATGTAATCCAGTGTTATTTCTGTATATCATCTTCATTTCTCTTTTAATGTATTTGGACTGGACTGTGAATTTCTTCTCCCTTTATGGGTTGTTAACTTCGTTTATAGTCTATCTATTTTACAGTTATTCTCTTTCCCTCAAATTAAGTATGATATTCCTGATAATTAGTCAACATGTAACTATCCATATACATATACTGAATTGATAGTAAAAAGAAGTCAGTTTTAGACCAATGACACTTAAAAAATGTATTTATTTGAAAAGCAGAGAGAAAGAAACAGAAAGCCTTGATCCACTGACTCACTGCAAGAATGCCCTATCAACTGGAACTGGGCCAGTCCAAAGCTGGGAGCTGGGAAATCAATACAAGTCTACCACATGGGTGGCAAGGACCCAATTATTTGAGCCATCTTGTGCCTCCCAGGTAGCATTTTGGCAGGAAGCTGGAACCAGAAGCAGAGCTGGGACTTGACCTCAGGCACTCCAATAAAGGATACAAGTATCCTGGGCAGCATCTTAAGGACTGGGAACATAAGGACACTTTCTGTTACACTTAAGTGTTTTGTTACCAGCAATTATAATTGGTCAGGTTTTTAGTAATACTTCAAAGACTGGAAAGTTCCTAGATTTCAGAAATATTTTCAGTTTTATTTTCTGATTTGAAAATTCTTGGCACAGTTATAAAAGTGTTCTTTATAGAATAAATACTTTATATATTTGTGAACTATAACTTGGAAATAGGAAATTACTGACTTAGAAATTAACTTTTAATTTTGTCTGTTTAGGAAGGCGACATGCCAATTCATGAACTTCTCAGCCTTTATGGTTATGACAGTACTGTTCGATTACCTGAAGAAGATGAGGAAGAGGAGGAAGAGGAAGAAGAAGGGGAAGATGATGAAGACGCTGATAATGATGACAACAGTGGCTGTAGTGGGGAAAATAAAGTAAGGTTATAAAAATACATAAATAATAGATCTCTCTTAAGTGTGGTGGATATGTTCCAAGACTCTCAGTACATATCTGAAACTACAGATGAGAGAGAGAGACAGAGAAAAATGTCTTCCTTTTTATCTGTTGGTTCACCCTCCAATGGCCGCCACGGCTGGCGCATCGCGCTGATCCGAAGCCAGGAGCCAGGTGCTTCTCCTGGTCTCCCATGGGGTGCAGGGCCCAAGGACTTGGGCCATCCTCCACTGCACTCCCGGGCCATAGCAGAGAGCTGGCCTGGAAGAGGGGCAACTGGGACAGAATCTGGCACCCTGACTGGGACTAGAACCCGGTGTGCCGGTGCCACAAGGTGGAGGATTAGCCTATCAAGCCACGGCGCCAGCCATGGTACTTAACTCTTAACATACTTATTTTTTCTGTGGATATAAGATTACTTCAGAAAGTTGGTGGAAAGTACATATTATGAAACAAACCATGCAAGGATTTCAAAAAATCTTACACCAAAATAAACTCATGTTTTAATTAGATTTTTCCATGAACCTTTTGAAGTATTCTCATTGATAGCCATGATAAAGCCTAATGTATAAATTAAGCATTGTTAGAGATTAACAACAATAACTAATAATAACATAGGGCAATTATAACAGTGTAGTTTAATAAAAGACATGTGAAGTTCTGTGTCTTGAAAGAGTCATGATAAACACTGACATTTTCAGACAGTGGTTGACCATAGGAAAAAACTACAGAAAGTGAAGCTACAGATGGTTGGGACTTGTATATGCTTAAAATTGTAGTGTTATTCTTACGGAAGTTACAGTTTCTTAATATGTTCATGTTGATTACTTATTTCTACAGTAATTACTCTTTCTATTTGTAATTTTTGAAGATTGTATTAATTTATTTACTTAAAAGAGTTACAGATAGAGATAGTTAATAGATAGAAGTAGAGACAGAGAGGTCTTCCATCTGCTGTTTCACTTCTCAAATGGCTGCAATGACTGGAGCTGAGCCGATCTGAAGCCAGGAGCCAGGGTCCTCCTCCAGGTCCTTCATGTGGATTCAGGGGCCCAAGGACCTGGGCCATCCTCTGCTGCCTTCCAGGTACATCAGCAAGGAGCAGGATCAGAAGTAGAACAGCTAGGACCCGAACCGGCTGCAGCTAGTACTATAGGCGAGGGCTTTAACCTGCTTTACCACTGAGCCACGCCTAGTCATTACTCTTTCCGCTTCGAAAGTAATATGTCTAAATGTCAAAAGTTAAGGTATCATAGAAATACATCATAAACGTTGGAAATCTCCCTGTAGTCCACTTGTGAGAGGTAGTAGTTTGATTTGTGTGTTTCCAGACTTTGCGTCTGTTCTAAAAGGTTTATTCCAAAACTTTTAAAAAGATTCTAATCCTTTTATAATTGACAGTTCTGTGTTCATTTTCCTTTGTTTTGAAATAATTTGATTTATAAAAGATTTTCAATGATACAGAAAGTTCTTATGTACTCCCCTGCAATCTCCCTATAGTATTAATATCTTATATAACCTTGGTATATTTATCAAGGCTAAGAAATTGGCACTGCTACAGTGCTGTTAACTAATCTATAGACTGCTTCGATTCACCAGGTTTTCCACTAATATCCTTTTTCGTGTTTTAGGAACCAGCCCAGAACACCATGTTGCATTGAGTGAATTCATTTTTAGTCTTTTAGATATGTTAAGAAGAAAATCTTAACATTGTAGCCTTTTTTCTGCAAGAGTTTTCTTTATATCATGAATAACCTTATTATTTCATAGGAAGAGAATATAAAGGATTCATCTGGTCAGGAGGATGAAACTCAGTCTTCCAATGATGATCCGTCGCAGTCTGTTGCTTCTCAGGATGCCCAAGAGATAATCCGCCCACGTCGATGTAAATATTTTGATACAAGTAAGTGTTGTTGGTTGCTATAGTTTGGATATTTTTTACTATTTTATGTATTACTTAAACTACCGTGTCTTAAAATTAAATTACTTAAATATGATTTGGGAACATTTTAGTGTACTTATGCAAACCAAGATTTCTGTGACTTCATTAGATGAAATAATGTTATGGGACCACCAACATTATATGTGGTCCGTCATTGCCGAAAACATTTTAAGCAGTGTATGGCAATATATTCATAAGCACTGCTTTCTCTAATTAATTGATTCTTTTGTTAAAAAAAGTGCTTGATTCTTGAGGAAGAAATGCATTACATTTAGAAGGAACTTCCCTAATTTACTTTACAGTTAGTTTCTGTTCAGAAATGCCCAGTAGTCAAGGCAAAATTTAATGTATAAATTAAATATTTGTGTGTACCACCTGTTCCGTCACACTCATTCTAAGCATGAGTCATTACTCTAGAGGCTCTTGGAAAAGCAAGTCAGCCACCGGTGTAAATAATAATTAAATTTATGGTCTAATTTCCATAGTTGAAAAGGAAGAAAAACACTTGAAAAAAAATAACCTTTTGTAAAATGTAGTAATGTAATTACTGAATATAAATATACCTATTATTTGTGTGAATTATTTGTAGCACAGTTTAGACATGATTGTAATACTGCTAAGGAACAATTTTTGTATAATACTAGGAGTTTTGATAAAATATTTTACCCAAGTGAATAGTGCAAAGAGGGATTCGTTATTAAAATAATAGTGTTAATTTTAAATTTGGAGCAAATCTGTTAGTATTTTTCCCCCTTAGAAGAAGAACAGGTCTGTTGCCAGTGCACTTTAAAGTGTGATTTGGGGGTAGTGATTTAATACAGCCTTCTGGTCAAGCTACTCATTAGGCTATCCATGTCCCACATTGGAGTACTTGGGTTCAGTCCCTGCATCTGGCCCCTAATGCTAGTTTCTTGTTAGTGTGGACCCTAGTAAAGCAGTGATAATGTCTCAAGTATCTTGTGTTTCTGCCACCTGCTTGGCATACCTGGAATGAATTCCTGATTCTTGGCCTTAGCCCTGTAGCCGTTTTGGGCATTTGGTGAGTGAACCAAAAGATGAGAACTTTCTCTGTTTGCCTCTCAAATAAATAGTTTTTTAAAAGTAGGATGCTAAGTCACTGCTTTGCTTCTTGAAACAATGTTTATCTTATACTTCTAATTTGGTATTTGATTTGTGTGGAAGCTATACATATGTATATCATCTGTATTATACCATGTACCATATACACACACATACACCATCTATAACAGCTTTTCTGTAGAGATTAATTTATGTAGTGTCGTTTTGAACTGTGTGTGTAATTTTTTGCTTTAAGAAGATGCTAACAATCTAATAGCTTTCACATTTCTACCTTTTTATAGGTAAATATTTTTTTATTCCAGAATGAAAGCAAACAACTTGGCTGCTCTGAATAGAGTGGAGGGCTTTGTATATCTAGCCCAACTCATTTGTTCCCTTTAAAGTGATGCCGTAGAATTCCCAGTGCTCCAAAGAGTACTGTTTGGAAATCATGTTTTATGCAGACCCTCATTTTCTAAGTGAGGAAATTGAAATCGTATCATTTATCCCGTTAACAGGCTTTTAAGAACAGAATGAACAATAGAAACAGATTATTTCGCCTCTGAACCAACATTTTTCCCTGAAGTTTTTGGAAGAAATGATTTGATGAGAAACCTGTTCTAAAAAGTTTATAATGTTTTTTGTTTTGTTTTGTTTTGTTTTGTTTTTTTTACAGGCAGAGTGGACAGTGAGAGAGAGAGACAGAGAGAAAGGTCTTCCTTTTGCTGTTGGTTCACCCTCCAGTGGCCACTGCGGCCGGCGCACCATGCTGATCCGATGTCAGGAGCCAGGTGCTTCTCCTGGTCTCCCATGGGGTGCAGGGCCCAAGCACTTGGGCCATCCTCCACTGCACTCCCTGGCCACAGCAGAGAGCTGGCCTGGAAGAGGGGCAACCATTACAGAATCCGGCGCCCCGACCGGGACTAGAACCCGGTGTGCCGTTTCCGCAAGTTGGAGGATTAGCCTAGTGAGCCGCGGCGCCGGCCAAAAGTTTATAGTGTTTTTTCCCAAGTTTTTGTTTTTAACTTTTATTTATCTATTTTCCTTTTATGTGAAAGAGAGAGAGAGACAGGCAGAGGTCTGTCCCATGGTTCACTCCCCAAAATACCTGCAATAGCTAGGGCTTGGCCAGGCTGAACCCAGAAGCCTGGAACCCAATTTGTGTGTTCCACCTGGGTGACAGGGACCCATACACTTGAGCCATAGATGCTGCCTTCCATGGTGTGCCTTAATAGAAAACTGAAGAAGAAACATGAGCTGGGACTTGAACCCAAGCACTCTGATAAGAGAGACATTGTCCTAAGCAGTGTTGTAATCACTGCACCAAGCATATACCTCCCCAATTTATAGTTTTTTTTTATTGTTCTTTTTTTTTGTATTTGTAAGAGATAGAGTATCGATGTTTAATTAAAAGTATCTTTGCCTAACTCACCCTAGATACCTTTTGGCATATATAAATATTGATGATAGATGTAAAAATGCAAATATATAGATACGGACAGGATAAGCAGTTGTTTTCCTGTTTGTTTTAGATAGTGAAATAGAAGAAGAATCTGAAGAAGATGAAGATTATATTCCATCTGAAGACTGGAAAAAGGTAGTTTGAAACATACTTTCCCAAAACTTGTTTATTTATAAGAGGACCAAGTATAATTATTGTTACTATGTATATTACTAAATTGATGTAAACTCTTTTGTTACATTTAAGTATTTAGTGAATGTTAGTGAATGTTCAAATTCCTTCTGAATACATTCAGGTGAGAAACAGATTTATCTTTATAAAATAAAACGATGGTATTGAAAGAATTCGACTTTGTTGAACAAACAGGACTCAAACCAAGATTAGAAATTCAAATTTCTTTTCTAATCCTGAACTAGTGCTAAATTAGACTTTTATTACACTGTGAAAGTATCACATGTTATTTTTTTCGGGGGGTGGGAAGAGGATGCAGTTATGGTAGCTATAATATGTAAGTAAATTTTGTTTAATAATTCAGATTGTAAGTTTTTCATTTTCTTACAATTAAAAGGGAAAACACAGAATGATTAAATTTAATTTGGTTAACTGTTAAGCATATTGTGTGAAGAGAGAGGTTTGAGTTCTTTATAACTATATATTACTAAATAAGTAAATTTTTAAAATGACTGTCAAAATAACACTGGCATTATTCTTACATTATAGAATATACTTCAATTCAGTATTAAGTTAATCAATTTTAAGTTGTTGCAAAGGAGTTGACTTTGAGTTCTTAAATAAACTATCAAAGTAGGTAAATTGGTTAAAACAAATCATTTTTATAAAAGGAATGATATTCTTAATGAGAGATCCACTGATCTAGCCTTTTTTTAAAAAAAATTACTGTTTTTTGTTCCTGGTTGGTCTGATTTTAAATTTAGTGTGTAAGTTACTTTGTGAACACGCTCTTAAAAAAAAAAAAAGGATTTAATTTATTTGAAAGGGAGAGTTTCAGAGAGAGTGGGTAGATGGGTGTGAGGAGGAAGAGAGAGAGGGAGAGACAGACAAACACAGCAGGGTTGGGCCAGGCTGAAGTCAGGAGCCAGGATCTTCTTGGGCCATCCTCCACTGCTTTCCCAGGTGCATTAGCAGGAAGCTGGGTTGGAAGTGGAACAGCCAGGTCTTGAACCAGCAGCCATCTGCTACACCACAACTCTGGCTCCAGAAAATTAATTCGAGATCCATCTCCTTATATATAATATGGAAATTAGAATGTCGGCCTTATGGGACTTGGTGAAGATGAAATGAAAATTCTGTGAGATCCTGGTATATAATCTAAAATGCTATTTCCCTTCCTTGCCATATACTACAGAACAGATTGTTGAAAAAAAGTGTTCTGAATGCAATAGGAAAAAAGAAATGTGTTATTTTTATGTTAAGAAAAACTCAACACTGCTAGTTTAAATGATCTGGAGTATACAGATCTAGTATTAATGGATACTTCTAGAATCCCACTTTAGTAGTCATAGGTGAGTAAAGTTAAAAGAGGTTTTCTGTAAGGACTCATTATAGTGAAAGACTTGCAGGGAATAACTGTCAAGGAGAGGAGAAAATTTGTCATTTATGATACTCTTTTCAGAAAACTGAACATGAAAAAAGACTGCCTTCTCTACACAGTCATAACTTTATTACTTCAAACTTATTTTTGGAGTTATACTAGGTAAAATGAGATAGGATAACATAGGAGAGAGGAACTTTTCAAATCCTAAGAGCTATTTAACCTTCCTAGAAGGAAGGTTAATTTTATGCTACTTCTGCCCAAGTCTTCATTTTGAAATGCCAGTAAGTTTGTTCTTAACATTTAGCCACCAGATAAGAGTATCCATGTAATCCTGGTTCTCATGTGTTGTGAAATCATTTATTTTAAGATTTATTTATTTATTTGAAAGGCAGAGAGTTACATAGAGTGTGGGAGAATCAGGGAGATGAAGAAATACCCGTCTGCTGGTTCACTCCCCAAATGGCTGCAACAGTCGGGGCTGGGCCAGGCTGAAGCCAGGAGGTGGAACTCCAACCTGAATCTCCCACATGGGGGCAGGGTTCTAAGCACTTGGGCTATCTCCTGATGTTTTCACAGGTACAATAGGAAGGAGCTAGATTGTAAGTGGAGCAGCAGGCACTTAAACCAGTGCCGTTAGGGGATGCAGGGGATGCAGGCATTTCAGGCGGTAGCTTAACCTGTTATATCACAATTCTGGCACCATGAAGTCTTATCAGTAGTGATTTCAAGTTGCCTTTCTGGATAGCCACTTTCAACTCATCTGTGATTTGATTATGTAGATTTGATTACCAGATTTTCCTATAAAATTTCAGTTCTTTTAGGGGGACAAGGGAGTCCCTTCTGTATTTTATGTTGTTTTGATGGAAATTAAGGACCAACCTGCTTATCCATTTGGTTTGGAGTTATATCCATTTGTCCCCTGTTGAACTTTCTACAAACTGTTTATTCCTTCTCTTACCTTTAGGCTGTGCTTCTCAGACTTAAATATGTGTCATAATCACCTAGAGAGTATTAAAATACCAATTACAGAATTGCACCGCCAGTTTCTTTTTCAGTAGGTTTGCATTAAGACCTGAGTGTCTGTATTTCTAAAGTTTCCTGGGTGACACTGATATTGAAATGCAGGGAGGGACCATACTTTAAGACCACTTTCTTAGAAGGAGACACTCTGAAAATATTTGTTTGATTTATGTTTTTCAAAGTGTTTTGCAATTATCCTAATAAAAATTTTGGACTTTGCTTTTATTTTTCTCCATAATTTGAAGTAAGGTTTATATTCATTGTCCACATTACATTTCACCCCATTACTATTAGTAGTACTTTCATCCAATCATATCTATGCTCTTATCTATTATTAACTCATTCATCCTCACAATGCTTCTGTGAGGTAGTTTGTATTTGCATTTTGTGACAGGAACCAGAGACAGTTTGCCCATGAGGATGGTAAAGCTAGAAAATGGATGTAAAATGTGTTACTAGATCTTATTAATGTTTTGTATTATTTTTAAAATAGGAGATTATGGTGGGCTCCATGTTTCAAGCAGAGATTCCAGTTGGCATTTGTAGATACAAAGAAAATGAAAAAGGTGGGTTATTAGTAAAGTTACATAGCTGAACTTAAACTTTTGAAGTGAAGAGAACTGTGTTTTATGTGTCTAAGATAATAAGAGCATGACAGCCTACTAAGTAGGCTGAACCCTGCATTGTATTTACGAAAAAAAAAGTTCACTATTTTTTCATTGTTGTTTTTCCCCCATTTTTTAAAATGTTCTAATCTGTACTCTTTTCTAACCTTTATAATTTAGTTTTAAAAAGCAAATTATTTGTGTAATAGGTTTAAAAACAAACTGCAGAGTAAGTAACACACAGAAAGCTTATTCGCTTCCAAAAGTTTTAATTTATTTGTTAAAGAGTGCTTTGATGTTTGTATTTTTAAAAGTAATTTGGAAAAACAACTTGTACTTAAATTTTACATGATTTTTTAATCATTTTAATCTGAAAGTCCTGAGGTAAATCATACTTTCAAGAAAATTCTTGAAGGTTTTTAAGAGTCTGTTTCATAGTATTGACTTTGAGAGAGGTACAGAAAGAATGCTCTGTGTTTATTTAATTTGTTTTCTTTTTATTTTTAACTGATGAAGATTGTACATATTTATTATCATGTAATGTTTCCATACACTGCATAATGTCCAATAAGAAAACAGAAAGCATCTGTTTTCTTAAACATTTATCATTTGTTCATGACAAAAACATATAAAACCCTTTCTTCTAGCTTTTCCTTTTTTGAAATATATATACTACATTTTTGCTATTTATGGTTACCCTGCTATACAGTAGAACATCAGAGTTACTTTCTAACTCCTATCCAGCTATAATTTGGTACCTGTTAACTAACTTTTCTTCCTTTTTTCCCTCTCCCCTGCTTTATTTGGTAACCACCCTTCTACTCTCAACTTAGCAACTTTTTAAAAAAAGATTTATTTGAAAGGCAGAGTTACAGAGAGGCAGAGAGAGAGAGAGGTCTTCCATCCGCTGGTTCACTCCCTAGATGGCCGCATCTGTCAGACCTGGGCCGATCCAAAGCCAGGAGCTTCCCCCAGGTCTCCCGCATATGTGCAGGGGTCTAAGGGCTTGGGCTATCCTTCACTGCCTTCCCAGGCCACAGCAGAGGGCTGGATTGGAAGTGGAGCGTTCAGATCTGGAACCGGCACCTATGTGGGATGCTGGTACTGCAAGCAGTGGCTTTACCCACTATACCACAGCGCTGGCCCGGAAGATCAGATATTTTTTTGCTTGTTTCTTTTCATCTACTTGAAAGGCAGAGAGAGAGAGAGAGATCTTCCATCTGCTGGTTACTCTGCACACAAATGCTTGCACAGCTAGAGCTGGGTCAGGCCAAAGCCAAGATCCCAGAACTCCATTCAGATATCCCTTGTGGATGGCAGGGTTCCAAGCACTTGGGCCATCATCTGCCACCTCCCAGAACGCATTAAGAGAAAGCTATATAAGAAACTTAAGGGTTGGGACTCCAACTGGCATTCTGATATGATATGTGGGTCTGCTAAGCACCTGATGTATATATTTGCCACACTTTCTTTATACATCCATCAGTTGATGGACACCTAGGTTGTTTGCATTTCTTGTCTGTTGTGAATAGTACTATAATAAACTTGGGAATTCAGGTGGCTCATGGACAGACTGATTTTATTTCCCTTGTATGTATATCCTAATGGAATTGCTGGATCATCTGGTAGTTCTAAATTTTTGAGGAACTTCCATTTCTGTTTTCCACAGTATCTGTGTAAAGGTTCCCTTTTCTCCACATCTTTGCCAGCACTATACTTGCTTTTATATTTTTCATAACAACCAGTTAATTTGTGTGAGGTGATACCTCATTGTGAGTTGTTTTTTTGTTTTGTGTTTATGTTTTCATTTATCTGAAAGGCTGCTTTGCCTGATTCACTCCCCAAATTTCCACAGCATCAGGCCTGGTCTAGCCGGAGCCTGGAACTTTACCCAGTTCTATGTGGGTGGCCAGAGACCCAACCATTGGAGCCATCATCTGCTGCCTCCCAAGATGCACATTTTGGCATGTTTGTCATCCTAAGTACTAGCTTAACTGCTGTACCCAGTGCCTACCTGCTCATTGTAGTTTGGGTTTCCATTTTCCAAATGACTAGTGATAGTGAACATTTTTTTCATCTACCTGTTGGCCATTTGTATGTCTTTCTTCGAAAATTGTCTGTTTAGATCTACTTTCCAGTTTTAAATGGTATTATTTGGATGTTTGATTTTATTTTTTTGCTATGAGTAGATTTAAGTTCTTACATAATTTTACTAATCCCTTGTCAGATGTGTAACTTAGAAATAATTTTTCCCAGCCAAGACACTGTGGCAAAAAATGACCTAAATGAAAGATCTTTGTGAGTGAGATCCTGGTGGAAAGAAGGGGCCGTCAAAGAAGGAGGTACTTTTCTCTGAAGGGAGGAGAGAACTTCCACTTTGATTATGGCCTTGTCTAAATAAGGACAGAGTTTGTGGACACAAGATGCTTCCATAGCCTTGGCAGCTCATAACAAGAGCCTCGGGTGATTACTGATGTCACAAATAACACTGACAGTTGTTAAATCAACAACAGGAGTCACTGTGCACTTGTTCCCCATGTAGGACTTCTGTCCTTAATGAGGTGTACTATGAGAATTAACAGTAAAACTAGTCTTCAGACAGTACTTTATACTTTTTGTGTCCGTGGGTGCAAACTGTTGAAATCTTTACTTAGTATATACTAAATTGATCTTCTGTATATAAAGGTAATTAAAATCTTAATTAAGAATGGAATGGGAGAGGGAATGGGAGATGGGATGGTTTGCAGGTGGGAGGGTGGTTAAAGTTTTCTATTAAAAAGAAAGCAAAAAAAGGAAATAATTTTTCCAATTCTGCAGGTTGTCTTTTCACTCTTTTGTGTTGATTCTTTTACTGTGCAGAAGCTGTTAGTTTGCTGAAATCCTGTTTGTTTATTTTTGCTTTTGTTTCCAATGCTTTTGAGGTCTGATCAAAAAATCCTTGTGTATTCCAATGTTTTGAAGTTCTTTCTTCTGCTAGTTTCAAACTTTCAGGTCTTAATTTTGGTCTTGAAACCATTTGAATTGACTTTTGTACACAGTGATAGACAGGGATCTGATTGCATTTTTCTGCAGGTAGCTATCCAGTTTTCCCAGCACCATTTATTTAAAAAACTGTTCTTTCTACAATATTATGTTCTTTTTTTTTAAGATTTTATTTATTTATTTGAGAGGCTGAGTTACAGACAGAGACGGGGAGAGAGAGAAAGGTCCTCCATTCATTGATTAACTCCCCAAATGAGCAGCCAGAGGTAGGCTGATCCGAAGCCAGGAGCTGGGAGCTTCTTCTAGGTCTCCCACGTGGGTGCAGAGGCCCAAGTACTTGGGCCATCTTCTGCTGCTTTCCCTGGCTCATTAGCAGAGAGCTAGATCAGAAACGAAGCTGCTAGGCCTTGAACCGGCATGCATATGGGATGCTGCGTCTAAAAATGGTGGCTTAACCTGCTACACCACAGTGCTGGCCCCATTAAATTCTTACATATTTGGTACAGTTAAAAAATGAAGCTACCTGATCCTGAGTTTTTCCCATTTTGTTACTTGCTATTAATCTGTGTTAGTGTGGTGTAGTCAATTCAGTCTTGATAAGGTCTGTTTATGCAGGAATTTTTCAATTTCTTCTAGGTTATCAAATTTTTTGGCATAGAATTGTTCAAAAGAATCTGATGATCCTTTATATTTCTGTAGTGTCAGTTTTAATGCCTCTTTTTCTGCGTTCATTTTTGTTTCCTCTTTTTTTTTCTTTTGCTAAGGGTTTGCCAGTTCTGCTCACGTTTTCAAAGAACCAGGTGTTTGTTTCATTGATTTTTTTTTTTTGGTATTTTTTAGTCTGTTTTATTTTTTCTACTGTGAGGTTTTTTCTTCTATTTTCCTTATTATTTCTTCCCTTTTGAGTTTAATTTGCCCTTGTTTTTCTGATCTCTTGGGGTGCCGTGATAAGTTTGAGATTTTTCTGCTTTTTTGATGTAAGCATTCATTGCTTTAAACGTCTCTCTGAGTACTATATTTATTTGTATCCCATAGGTTTTTGTAAGTTGTGTTTTGATTTTAATTTATTTCATGATAGCATTTGATGTTTTTAATTTCTTCCTTCATCTATTGATTGTTCTGGAGTAACTGTTTAATTTGCATCAGAAATTATTTCCAGAGTTTCTCTTGTTATTGCTTGGTAGTGTTTGCATTGTGGTTAGAAAAGATTCTCAGTATGATTTCTATTTTGCTTAATTTGTTGAAGCTTATTGTTACTTTCCATATGATCTACGCTGCAGAATCTATGAGAATTGTATGCTCTGGAAAAGAATGTGCATTCTGCAGCTCTTGGATGAAATGCTTTGTAGATGTTAGTTACATCCAAATTATGTAGAGAACACTTTAACTCTGCTGTTTCTTAGTTTTCTGTCTAAATGATCTGTACATCTGTGACATCTATGAAAGTCCTATACTTTGCTGTATTGCCCTATACAATGTTGTATTAGAGTTTGTCTCTCATAGGTCAATTATTATTTCTTAATATAGTTAATATCTTAATATATTTCTTAATATTCGTATATTCTGATACTTGATGTGTATATATTTACAGTTGTTATTTTTCTCCTACTTGGTTGAACCCTTTATTTTTATGTAATGACATCCTTTGTTTCTTTTTACTGTTTTTAGTTTGTTTTATCTGATGTAAGTATAGTTATTCCAGTTTCCTTTTGGGTCCCACTTTCATGGAATTTTATTACATTCTTCCACCTTGAATTTATACATATCTACAAAGGTGAATTGCTGCTTTAAGATTTCTCAAATGTACTTTCTGCCTCTTTAAGTTTTCACTAGTCCCTCTTGAACCCCCCAACTCTTAGATATTTCCTCTTTTAATGCTATCCCAATGCTGCAGTAAGCTTTTTTCATTATCTTCAGTCTTTTTTCTTCTCTGTGTATTTCAGAATCTGTCTTTGAGCTTATTGATTCTTCTGTTTGAT